ATGATATGCAAGTCAACAATACATGAAAAAAAAAACGTTCTTCCCCTCAGGAAGAAACAATCTCTTCCACTAAATAACAATTTTGAATCGCCGTACAGAATAAAATCTGTTGCAATGTAAGACCCTCGCCAAGTTTGCTGTTGATGGCTTGCACGAGCACTCGCTTGTTGACCAACAAACCAACAAGTCTACAAACCAACAAATCTACAAACCAACAAGTCTACAAACCAAAAACCCTGCAAACCAACAAGCATACAAACCAACAAGCCTATAAACAAACCTACAAAGCAACATGCCTGTAAACCAGCCAACAAACAAACAAAGCAACAAACCATCAAACCAACACACCTTCAAACTAACAAACCAACAAACCAACCAACAAGCCAACAAACAAACAAACCATCAAATCAACTAACCGACAAACCAACAAGCCAACAAACCAACCAACAAACCAATCAACAAGCCAGCAAACAAACCAACAAACAAACCAAGAAACCGACAAACCAAAAAACCGACAAACCAACAAGTCAACAAACTAACCAACAAACCATGAAATCAACAAAACGACAAACCAACAAGCCAACTAATCAACAAACCAACCAACAAGCCAACAAACAAACAAACCATCAAATCAACAAACCGACAAACCAACAAACCAACAAACCAACAAACAAACTAATCAACAAGCCAGCAAACAAACCAACAAACAAACCAAGAAACCGACAAACCAACAAGCCACCTAACCAACAAACCAACCAACAAGCCAACAAACAAACAAACATACAGAACAAGCAACCAAGAAACCGACAAACGAACAAACGAACAAACCAACCAACAAACCAACAAACAAACAAACCAACAAGCCAAAAAACTAACCCATATACAGAACAAGTAACCAAGAAACCAACAAACCAAGAAACCAAGAAACCAACCAACAAGAAAACAAACAAATCTAGAAGCCAAGAAACCGACAAACCAACAAATAAAACCAACAAACCGACAAACCAACAAACCAACAAGCCAACAACCAACAGACCAGAAGCCTACAAACCAACAAACCAACAAACCCCACGCCTACAAACCAACAAACCAAAAGCCTACAACCAACAAACCAACAACCAACAGGCCTACTAACCAACAAACCAACGGGCCTACTAACCAACAAACCAACAAGTCTACAAATCAACAAACCAACAAAACCAACAAGCCTACAAACAACAAACTAACAAAGCCACACAAACCAACAAACCTACAAACCAACAAACCTACAAACCAACAAACCAACAAGCCCTACAAACCAACAAACCAACAAGTCTACAAACCAACAAGTCTACAAACCTACAAACCAACAACCTACAAACCAACAAACCAACAAGTCTAACAAACCAACAGCCTACAAACCAACAAGCCTACAAACAACAAACCAACAAACCAACAAGCCTACAAACAAACAAACCCAACAAGCCTACAAACCAACAAGCCTACAAACCAACAAGCCTACAAACAACAAACCAACAAACTAACAAGCCACAAACCAACAAGCCTACAAACCAACACAAACACAAACACAACCAACAAGCCTACAAACAACAAACCAACAAACCAACAAGTATAAAAACCAACAAACCAACAAACCTACAAACAACAAACAACAAACCAACAAGCCTACAAACCAACAAGCCCACAGACAACAAACCAACAAGCCTACAAACAACAAACCAACACAGCCTGCAAACAAACCAACAAACCAACAAGCCTACAAATAAAAAACAACAAACTAACAAACCAACAAACCAACAAGCTGCAAACAACAAAACCAACAAGCCTACAAACCAACCAACAAAAGCCTACAAATCAACAAACCAACAAACCAACAAGCCTACAAACCAACAAACCAACAAACCTCAAACCAACAAACCAACAGGCCTACAAACCAACAAACCAACAAAACCAACAAGCCTGCAAACAACAAACCAACAAGCCTACAAACCAACAAACCAACAAGCCTACAAACCAACAAAACCAACAAGCCTACAAACAACAAACCAACAAGCCTACAAACAACAAACCAACATACCAACAAGCCTGCAAACAACAAACCAACAAGCCTGCAAACAACAAACCAACAAGCCTGCAAACAACAAACCAACAAGCCTGCAAACAACAAACCAACAAGCCTGCAAACAACAAACCAACAAGCCTACAAACCAACAAACTAACAAACCTACAAACCAACAAACCAACAAGCCTACAAACCAAGAAACCAACAAACCAACAAACAACAAACCAACAAGCCTACAAACAACAAACCAACAAACCAACAAGCCTACAAATCAACAAACCAACAAACCAACAAGCCTTCAAACAACAAACCAACAAACCAACAAGCCTACAAACAACAAACCAACAAGCCTTCAAACAACAAACCAACAAACCAACAAGCCTACAAATCAACAAACCAACAAACCAACAAGCCTACAAACAACAAACCAGCAAACCAACAAGCCTACAAACAACAAACCAACAAACGAACAAGCCTACAAATCAACAAACCAACAAGCCTTCAAACAAAAAACCAACAAGTCAACAAACCAACAAGCCTACAAACAATAAACCAACAAGCCTACAAACCAACAAACCAACAAGCCTATAAACAACAAACCAACAAGCCTACAAACAACAAACCAACAAATCAACAAGCCTACAAACAACAAACCAACAAACCAACAAGCCTACAAACACTGATTAACACATGCAAAACAATATGAAACATAACATAATCATGCTTATAATATTTGTGTAGGTGAGTCAAGAGGATGAGTGTGATTAGTGTTGGGAGGTGAGGAAGGGGGAAGGGGTAGAGGAGAGGGTAGGGGAAAGGGTAGGGGAAGGGGAGGGGGAAGGCGGAAGGGATATAGTTATGCACGATTACTAGGATGAGAGGAAGCTAGGCGGGGGAGACAGGTGAGGATGAATAGGTGGTGGAGGGGGGTTTGAAGAGGATAGTTGTGGTGGTGAGGGGAGGGGAGTGGGAGGGGGGGAGGGAGGTACTCTAGGTGACAATAAACAAAAAAACACAGTTCGCGGAGAAAAACAATGAGTGTGAAGGCAGCATTCAAACTTTTTTTTTTCCCACATTACATCGACATTGACGTTGACGGAGTTGCTCCTACCTGCACCATCAACTTCTCAGCCAACAATAGCAGCAGCTTTGGAACAGACAGCAATAGCAATACAATAGAAATTGCAACAACAGCTAAAAAAAAAATATGAATAAAAAAATTCACTACCAGTTCAAGGCTACTCTCAATAATACGAACAAATCCGGTTTCATGGATTGCGTTCACTTAAAAAACCGTCTGGAAGGAGAGGAGGTGGGAGGGGGGTGGTGATTATTACAAGTGGGGTGTATATAAACACACTCAGGTGGACAACCCGCTCTATCAGCACTCACCTGTTGTCTCCACCTCGACACTCTCAAGTATGGTGAGTCTAGTGTGCTTTTTTCTAGGTGACGTTCTTTTGCTCCCTTGTAGGGAACTTCTGGTACCTGGCAGTTTTATTGTGCTACCTGGTAGTGTTATGGTTCCTTGTAGTGTTCTTGCGGTACCTGGTAGTGTTCTTGTGGTTCCTGGTAGTGTTCTCGTGGTTCCTGGTAGTGTTCTTGTGGTTCCTAGTAGTGTTCTTGTTGCCCCTGGTAGTGTTCCTGTGGTTCCTGGTAGTGTTGTTGTGGTTCCTGATAGTGTTGTTGTGGTTCATGGTAGTGTTCTTGTGGTCCCTGGTAGCGTTCTTGTGATTCCTGGTAGTGTTTGTTTGGTTCCTGGTAGTGTTCTTGTGGTTCCTGGTAGTGTTCTTGTGGTTCCTGGTAGTGTTCTTGTGGTTCCTGGTAGTGTTCTTGTGGTTCCTGGTAGTGTTCTTGTGGTTCTTGGTAGTGTTCTCGTGGTTCCTGGTCGTGTTCTTGTGGTTCCTGATAGTGTTCTTGTGGTTCCTGGTAGTGTTCTTGTGGCTCCTGGTAGTGTTCTTGTGGCTCCTGGTAGTGTTCTTGTGGCTGCTGGTAGTGTTCTTGTGGCTCCTGGTAGTGTTCTTGTGGCTCCTGGTAGTGTTCTTGTGGCTGCTGGTAGTGTTCTTGTGGCTCCTGGCAGTGTTCTTGTGGCTGCTGGTAGTGTTCTTGTGGCTCCTGGTAGTGTTCTTGTGGCTCCTGGTAGTGTTCTTGTGGCTGCTGGTAGTGTTCTTGTGGCTCCTGGTAGTGTTCTTGTGGCTGCTGGTAGTGTTCTTGTGGCTCCTGGTAGTTTTATTGTGGTTCCTGGTAGTGTTATTGTGGTTCCTGGTAGTGTTATTGTGGCTCCTGGTAGTGTTCTTGTGGTTCCTGGTAGTGTTCTTGTGGTTCTGGTAGTGTTTCTTGTGGTTCCTGGTAGTGTTATTGTGGGTTCCTGGTAGTATTATTGTGGCTCCTGGTAGTGTTCTTGTGGTTCCTGGTAGTGTTCGTGTGGTTCCTGGTAGTGTTATTGTGGTTCCTGTAGTGTTCTTGTGGTTGCTGGTAGTGTTCTTGTGGTTCCTGGTAGTGTTCTTGTGGTTCCTGGTAGTGTTATTGTGGTTCCTGGTAGTGTTCTTGTGGTTCCTGGTAGTGTTATTGTGGTTCCTGGTAGTGTTCTTGTGGTTCCTGGTAGTGTTCTTGTGGTTCTTGGTAGTGTTCTCGTGGTTCCTGGTCGTGTTCTTGTGGTTCCTGATAGTGTTCTTGTGGTTCCTGGTAGTGTTCTTGTGGCTCCTGGTAGTGTTCTTGTGGCTCCTGGTAGTGTTCTTGTGGCTGCTGGTAGTGTTCTTGTGGCTGCTGGTAGTGTTCTTGTGGCTCCTGGTAGTGTTCTTGTGGCTGCTGGTAGTGTTCTTGTGGCTCCTGGTAGTGTTCTTGTGGCTGCTGGTAGTGTTCTTGTGGCTCCTGGTAGTGTTCTTGTGGCTGCTGGTAGTGTTCTTGTGGCTCCTGGTAGTGTTCTTGTCGCTCCTGGTAGTGTTCTTGTGGCTGCTGGTAGTGTTCTTGTGGCTCCTGGTAGTGTTCTTGTGGCTCCTGGTAGTGTTCTTGTGGCTGCTGGTAGTGTTCTTGTGGCTGCTGGTAGTGTTCTTGTGGCTCCTGGTAGTGTTCTTGTGGCTGCTGGTAGTGTTCTTGTGGCTCCTGGTAGTGTTCTTGTGGCTCCTGGTAGTGTTCTTGTGGCTCCTGGTAGTGTTCTTGTGGCTCCTGGTAGTGTTCTTGTGGCTGCTGGTAGTGTTCTTGTGGCTCCTGGTAGTGTTCTTGTGGCTCCTGGTAGTGTTCTTGTGGCTGCTGGTAGTGTTCTTGTGGCTGCTGGTAGTGTTCTTGTGGCTCCTGGTAGTGTTCTTGGGCTGCTGTAGTGTTCTTGTGGCTGCTGGTAGTGTTCTTGTGGCTCCTGGTAGTGTTCTTGTGGCTGCTGGTAGTGTTCTTGTGGCTGCTGGTAGTGTTCTTGTGGCTGCTGGTAGTGTTCTTGTGGCTCTGGTAGTGTTCTTGTGGCTCCTGGTAGTGTTCTTGTGGCTGCTGGTAGTGTTCTTGTGGCTCCTGGTAGTGTTCTTGTGGCTGCTGGTAGTGTTCTTGTGGCTCCTGGTAGTGTTCTTGTGGCTGCTGGTAGTGTTCTTGTGGCTCCTGGTAGTGTTCTTGTGGCTCCTGGTAGTGTTCTTGTGGCTGCTGGTAGTGTTCTTGTGGCTCCTGGTAGTGTTCTTGTGGCTCCTGGTAGTGTTCTTGTGGCTGCTGGAGGGCTTGTTGAACAACCTCCCTGAAACACAAATTATTGCTAATGAAAGAACAAATCCTCTGAAATTTTTGTGCTTGAAGAAAAATCGAGAAGCTTACGTACTACCTATATTCTGCGGGCGTCCTGCTCAGTTCTCGAGCGTTGAGCACCAGCTCCGGGACCTTTCTCTTGTATTTCAATCCCTTCAGATGATCTAGCGCCGTAATAATCACTTTTGAGTTTATATTTTGAATCAGACTGGTATTTCTCGTTGGCATCCTGGTGCCATGCTTATATTCAGCTTGAGTGCCAATGACCTTCACATGCCACACCGTTTCCTGGTATACCCTCAGTGTATTTTGAATGCCATGATCAAGTCTCCTTTGATTTGTGTTACTCCCGAGTCACGAGGCCATGTTCTGTAGTCTCTCAGCTCCGCTGTCAGGCTGGTGGAAACTGAGACGACCCAGGTTTAATCTACTGGTGACTTGAGACGAATGAGCATATTTGTATCACACCTGCTGCTTCTGCTCACATACCATTAATTAGGTACTTGATTGTGAGTGGACTGCTGTGGGTGGCATCCTGAGGAAGAGAACCAAAGGACCCCATTGGATATCAGCCACATTATTTGTCCTTTTAAATTTATCCTGAATTAATAATTCCGAAGATCTTTTCTGTTTTCTCCCGTGTTGGGAGTAACTCAGTGAGTTACTCTCAACACAGGAAGCCCGATGCCTCTGGCCTGCTTTTCCCAGCGAACACATTAAACTCTTGACACATGCCTTTTGCCCAGGCCTTTTTTTAACCTTCTTTGTTTTCCCCATTACATTCTCCACATTAGCTATGCAGTGGCATACAGGATTCTATCCCTTCTGTCTTGGTACTTTATGTATACCACCCACCAACACAAGCGGACCTAAAATTAAACCCTAGAAGACTCCTCTGTTTACATTTAATTATATATAGTGTATACGGAATCACGTGTAATATATAAGGGGGGATTACCAATAAAATGCTTGTTATCTTTTTTTCAAGATGGAACTTGAGTACTTTCATATAGTTATAATCAGCTACAACGTTGTACTTACGCTGAACTGCGAACTGCTAGTAAAAATAACCTGACTAGTTAAGACTCGGGTGTTTTGGGACAGTCATCCCTGAAATAATAAAAATGTTTAACTTCTATCTTCGTCTTCTGGCAGGCGTGGAACAAATGCTACCTGCTGGTGGTGCTGGCGATCGTGCTGGTGGTGATGGCTGCAGCAGCGCCACAATACCGTGGCTTCAACCAGCGTGCCAACCCACACCTCCAGGGCGGCTACAGAAGAGGCTTCGGAGGGTATAGCCTCGACGATAACAGTTTCGACCATGACAGCTACGAGATATATGGACGGCGTTTCATGGGCTAGAACCAATCTCCTTCTCAGCCTGCTGCTGCTACTGCTTCTGCCCGTAGTCCTGATGCTCCTCTTCTTGTCCCCTCCTCCTCTTCTTCCTCCTCCTGCTTGGACTCCTACAAGGTTCATCACCTGGACTTACAGTCACCATCAACGTTCCAGGTTCCTGACTGGCAACTGAGGAGGACTCGACACTGCAGCCACTCAGCCACTGACAGTCACTCAGCCACTGACAGTCACTCACAGTCACTGGAAAGACCACTCAGGACCTGCTTAAATTTTATGCTGATTTTAGCCAGTCCGGTTTTTAAAACTCGTGTAAAGAAAATTCAGCACAGGATTTCAATAAATTTTTTCATTATTATATA